AGTAATAGGCCTTGGGTTACTGCTGGTAATCCTGTCTTCCTCTTGTGGGATTAGAGGAGGTCAGAACATGTGGCCTCCTTGCCCTTTTTGCAGATACCAAAAACCAAACCAAACTCACTGCTGGGGAGTCAGATCCGATCCGTAGTGACCCCTCCTTGGGTTTCCGAGGTGGTATCACTACGGAAATAGGTTGCCCAACCTTCCTTCCAAGAAGTGGCTGGTGGGTTTGAATCACCAGCCTTCTGGTTAGCAGTCAAATGCCTGAGGCACTACGCCACCAGCGTTCTCTGGGATACCAGGACCCTCCAACAACTGTGGTACTTCACCTGAGCTTCCCAGAACCATGAATTGTCTAAAAACCTTTGTCAAGGATGCAAATTCCTAGGCCCCAGCCCAGGCCTAAAGAATCTCAACTCTAGGAGGAGGAACCAGGCATTTTCACATTTAACAAGTTTTCCAGGAGATTTAGACATTTAAGAGTCCTTCCTAAGTGGCTCCTCTTTTAACCTCATACCCAGAATAACCCAGAACAAAGAGCAGATGCCTTTGTACTCCATCAGAAGGAAGCCCAACTGGGGGATCTTAGAATCAAGCTAGAGACTGTCTTTCCCTTTCCTGTTGGCAGTCTTTTCATTCAAGAAATATCAGTGGACCTACTAAATGCCAGCTCATGGAGAACACAGCTGTTAAGCAAACAGACAAGGCCCCGTCCTGAGGGATCCTACATCTACAAGGGAAACAGACAGGAGGCCCATGAGCCCACATCTCCACCAAGCCAACCCTAATAAGGGCTTCTACAGAGGAAAAGTACCCGAATGTGCTCTCTCCCCGATCAAAACTGTTCCATGTCTCTGAAGGCTTTTAAAAATAGCCCAGCACAGCACCACACAGGCTCATTCCTAACAAACCCTTGTTGACTCAACTTCTTTCAAAGTTGACAGATCTGCCCCTGGAGAGGGACATGGATACAACGACCACCCCAGGCCCCTTCCCACCCAGAACGCACCATCATGAGCTCAGAGCAGAAATCAGAAAATGACACCGAAGAAAAGGCCCTCCTGATACTCAGTGTGAGTTATGAATGGAATGTTGGAGCCAGAGAGCCCTGAGTTCAAGTCTTGACACTGACTTGTGACATGGGCCATGGAATCTGGGACATGCCACTTTGCCTCTCTGAGCCTTAGTTTCATCATGTGTAAATAAGGATGGTCATGATGAGAGCAGTGGTGAGGATTCAGCGTGCTATCACATGCAAAGAGGTCGGAGCTCAATAAGCAGGAAGCCTGGCTTCACTTGGCTCATGGGGCCACTTCCCTGCACCACACAAGGGATGTGTCCAGTGAAACCTATGCCCCACACTCCCAGCAAAGCCCACAGTGCCCTCTGCCTCCCAGAACCCAGGAAGTCCCACCTGCAGCTTGCCCACTGACAGGTGTGAGCCACATCTGGCCTGAGCCTGAAGGCAGACCTAGCATATGTCACAAAACAGCAGCCAGACTGAAAAGGACCACCCATCCACCCTGGAAAGAGGATGAGAGCACCCAAGGATGCAGCTCCCAGACCTCAGAGCCTCATGGCTTCATGGAGTTCCCTTTGAGCTCCTTGCTGCAGAATCGCACTAGAGAAAGGCCAGTATAGTAGACAACAAGCCCACTTAGGAAAGCCCCCTTTGTTCTAAGCACATGGTGTGAGGGGTATGGAGATGACTTGGACAGACCTGCAAACGTGCCTGGAAGACCAATGGAGCTGTGGGGGGTGGAGGGAGAGCAGAGGTTGTGCAATGCACCACCAGAAGCTGCCTCCCATGCCTCCATCAACACATGGGGTTGGTCCAATCTGCTGCCTCCAGGGGGGATGCTGAGGGGCTGGGCCCACACAGCTGCCCAGCTTTAGGTTCTGAATTCCAACTCAAGGCCAGGGGCACTGCCCCCTCCTGAGTCAAACACCCTGGCAGAAGCCCTTCTGGACTAGGAAGCCACAGTTCTCCCCAAGTCCCAGCCCCAAAGAAAGGCAGTGTGCCCAGAACTGAGTGCATTAACCCCTGGCATGCCGGGGCATCTCCAGAGAGGCTGCAGAGAAGGAGAGGGCCTGGAATGGAGACCCTGGAGCTGCAAAGGGACAGAAGAGTTGGGAAGTTGGGCAAGCCATGGAGAGAGGGACACCGAGTCCCGAAGTCAGAAATTGACAGACCCTCCTCTTCCGGTGACCCTTGGCTAAAAGCTCAGACACACCAGATCACCCACACCCCCTGTGTAAACCCATTCTGTGGTTTGACAGAGATGGAAAAGGGGAAAGTGAGCTTGGAACCACAGGAGAATGTAAATCCTGCAGCCAACGGGGCGTCCAGGACCCTTCTGCGCCCAGGTAGCCACCGCCCCAACCTCTGACAAATCTCCATCCCCCCACCCCTCACCCCTCAACCCCACACACACACAGGATCCGAGGCCAGGGAGGGGGCGACAGGCCAACCTCGCAGCAGCAGCAGCAGCGGCGGCGGCATCGTGATGCATGAATCACCCACCCAGCCAAGGCTCATGCCAGTCGGCTCTGCGCTGCGAGACACTGCAACCCGGGGCCCCCTCCTCGAACCACCGCTCCCCCGCCTCCTGCCCTTGTACACTCCCAGCCTTTTCCGATAGCTTTGCAAAGAAGGGGCCGCGGGTGTGCTAGGGCTCCCCGCCCGACCTGGGGGTGGCCCTTAGTACGCTGACAGCACAAGTCCCGGGCTGGGGTGGGGTGGGGGAAGCTAGAACAATAGAGCCAGGTGTGGGGCTAGGGGCGCAGCCAGGAGACTCCGAGGGGCCCGGGGCAGAGGCAAGGGAGGGAACGACGCGGAAGGCTGTGGCGATGAGCAGGCTAGAGAGAGAGCCCAGAGAGACTAGGGTTGGAGGGTGACAGTGTGATGGGGGAGGGGCGCAAGTAGGAAGAGAAGGCGCGGGGCAGGGGGTCCCGGGGCGTGCGCACTCACAGTAGGTTTTCCTGGTCAGCTCTTCCACAACTTCAGGCTTCAACTTGCTGTTGGAT